AATATATAAAATGTATAATAATAATTCCAATAATTTTTAATCCTAAAAATTATAAAAATGCATAGGTGAATAAGTTGAGCAGGCAGGGAGACAGATTTATCAAGTTAGGCGCAAGAGAATTATAAATTAATAAATTTAACGTTACATATTTTTTGAAAACAATGTATAATATATATATATATACATGTTTAAAAAAAATATAGAATATATATATATATATATTGACGAAATGTCCAGGGCGGTAAGATAGCTTCCCGCAAAGCAGTTTAAGTTGCAATAAAAATACCAAGGAAGGAAGGCTTGCCATACTTGGCGAGAAATCGCCCATTTGACTATAAAATTGGCGATATACCATGGACGGTTGGAGAACCTTCTGGAACGAGTTCTTACCGGTTTAGCCCAGAATGTTCTCGAACACAAGCCGAAAGTTATATAAAAACTACTGGTCCGCAGTCAGTTAATGTGTGTCTCGTCTAGGGAGTCAGTCCGTGCGGAGTCGATCGAGTTGACAGCCGGGCAGCGAGTGCTGAGTGAGTCGTCGAGTGCACGAAGAGTCTGTAGTGTTCGCGGTTAGTGCATCGTCGAGAGAGCGTGTTGAGCTCCGTAAACGACTGAACCGATAGAATCGGAGCGTGTCTTGTTGTCGTCGAGGGCATCGCGGTTTGAGTGTGTCCGAGAGACAGGAATTCCGAAAAACCAAGCAGAGTTGGGAGCGTACTCTGGTGCTTTGCAGGAAGCGCCTCCACCGTTATTGCAGACCGTGTGAAAGCTGTCGCGATTGTTCAACGGTTATAGAAAGATCTTCGACGATGTTTAAAGTGTGTTGAGGGTCCTGAATGAATATTGGCTAAATAAGTGTGTTCGATACTTCACCATGTCGTCGTTATTCACTCCCAATCTACAAAACCCGTACGAACGTGAAGGAAGAAAATAACGCAACAAGTGTCAGAAGAAATAACAAACGTAAAAATATATATATATATATCTAATTAATACACAAAAAACATAATAATTATACTCGTGTCGAACTACCAGTGTTCAACGATTTTACCGTGCGGCCACTGGTGGGCCGAAGGATCCACAAAAATCACATCCTTATGCGCTTCTAAAAACCTTAAGTAGTGTTACATGATTTCATCTGGATATTTCAGAGCAAACACAAACCTCATTCTAAAGACTATTATACAAAGTTGGTGCATGCCTTCATTATTATTCCTTCACATATCGTCGCATGGTGGGGATATTTTGTGTTCTATTGAGATGTAAACGAAATTAGAATAAGAAGTTAAACTTCGACTCGTTATTGCATTAATTAATTTAAAAGAGCTCTTTCATTGTCAAGAAGATGAAACACAAACCCTATGACTTTATGGAATAAAGTTCATTCTCTTTAACCCTCCTGTATATAATTGTCACTTACTTGCATTGTCATTATTTGTATTTCAGAAACATATTCGTGTAACTGGATTTAATAACGGTAATCAATTTCGCTTTTTGCTCATCGTTTGAAAAATAATTACATAGGTCACTTTATGAAATATAGTTATTTTTATGTATGCAGTTTTAGACACTAATGGATATGTTCATACAATAGTACCTCTCCTAACGAGCATATTTCGTGGAGGCATTCATTATATGGAACGCATTTTCTCATACGTTACAATGAAAACAATTTTAACCAGCCCGAAATCGCGAGACATCATAAAAAATTTCTGAAAATATGGAAAACGCAATTAGTATAGGAAATTAAGTGAAATGGGAGAATTTGCTAATTTATTACTTGAAAATTATGTATGCATGTACAATCTCGCATTTTAAAATTAGATTTAATCTATTTCTTCGTAGTTTTCCGCTGGAGGAGTTAAGACTCAACTGTTTTTGTACGTTTGTCTTTGGTTCCTTTGAGAAACCTAGCTTTTTATGAAGTTATCTACGGTGGTTTACAATTATTGAGTTGCCTTGGTCGGTATAGTAGTTAGTGTGGCTGGCTGTCGTATATAGTCCTACTGTCACCTATAAGATGAGCAAGGCCCATGAAAAGACAGACACAATTCTGCAAATTCGTGGACTTGTTCTGATGTTACTGTCAGATAAGTAAGATATGTCACGACAATATAAGTTAAAGAGCCTTTTACAAAACTTTCCTGAATCTGTTCAGGGCATTATCATTAAACAGATATTTGTTCATTTTAGCTGATTGGGATATATGACTGTTTGGCTGCGATCTAGACCTCTTCTCAGTTCGAATTAAATAAAATTTCTCTTTAAGAAATGTGGACTCAATCTAATTTTTATTTTCTTCAGAAGGTCTTTCATAGTTATAGTAGGCACAAGTCTGTTTATATTCTCCTCCTCGTCACCAGAATTTTCTTTCTGAGCTTTCTCGAATCCTGATCAAACAAAGCTTGCAATTCGCCATTTCTTTGTTCTATATTTTTGTTCATGCGCAGATAATTTAATTTTTTAAATATATTTACGCCCTTCAAAAAACGCAGTCAAAATGGATTTTGACTCTTCGTTTAATGTGTGACGAAATTTGAGTGCGGTTCATAGTGCAAGACCGAGTTCCATTATTTGGACACTTTTTAGTTCCTGCTCACGCTCGTTATTTGTCATGTAGGATGTTCGATATGCGAGACGCTTATGTATATACATATACATGGCCAAAATATAGAAAGTAAGGTAGATTGAGACACTTGTAATCAGAAGTTTTCTTTTATTCGCTCCAGATATCCATAACAAAATGTGTGTTTGCCATCATCTGAATACTCGAATTGCTAGCACATGAACGAGCACTATAATGCAAATTTCACTTATGACCACAGAAATTAATCTAGAAAGTATCACATGCATCTAAAAATTTTAAAGTCTTCGTTTCAGTATGCTGAAAATATAAAATTCTGACAGTCATAAACTTCCAATAACAGCTCTGGTGAGAAGGAATTTTATTTATTCGTCACCAGGCTTCTGACCTAATGTGTATACCAAAAAGAATTGTACCTGCTCAGCGAAAGATTAAGTACAATCCAGTATCCTTACAGATCTAACGATACTTTTTTTTAACAAAATCAGAGAGTACATAGAGTAGCAGTGTTACATAAACTATGACAACTTGCGTTCATATGCTGCATATAATTCAGAGTTAATAGTAGCCACTTGATATAATTATAAAAAGTTACTGATTATATTTTACATATACTTAATATAATAAACAAAAATATATAAAAGAAATGAAAAAGAAATAATATAAATAAAAGGAATAAATAACATACATATATATGTATATAAATGCAAATATAAATAAATAGATGAATATATAAAAAAGGTTTCTACAACGATTACTTGGCTAGTTGATGAGCATGAATATCTTTCATTACAGAATTGCAATATTTTAGTCAGTTTAGTAAGAGCTCCTTTAGTTTTCAATAGATGTGTTGTCCTTTGTTCCCACTATTGATCAGATGGCTTGGTCAAGTAAAATGGTTTCGTAAGACAACAGAAAAAGGCATAATGATCCGGAGGTTGTTGTTGGCCACATTCACAAGTGTCCAGTTCTGTAATACCAAATCGATGAAGATATGTTATGAAAGGTCTATGGCCTGAAAGAAAGCAGAGGAAAATGTAAGAATCTTAGTAGAGACATGGGGACAAAAACGAAAAGTCCGTCTTCCCATTGTTGCAATATTCCATCCGGATCGCCAGTGATTTATTAAGTAATTGTAAGTAATCCCTGAATCCATTTAAGAAAGGAACTTGGCAAAGGCAAGGGATGTTCCGGCAAGTTCGTACCAGTTACTGCTTGCTTGACAAGTTCGTCAGCACGCTCTTTGCCAACTATGCCCCTATGTACCAACTATGCCCCTATGTAACCGTGGACGAAATCCTGACGTTATGTTGAAAAGTAATTTTTGAACTTCTATTACTAGAGGGTTTCTGAAATTTATATCATCACTTGCCTCCAAACTAGGTACAGAGTCACTGTAGATATGGGCTTGTGTATCGAATTTATAGAAGAGTTAAATAACTTTCTTTATTGCCGTCAATTCAGCTTGCAATATTATGATTACTTAATCTTCTTTTCCAAATGTGTTTCAGGACATCATTTAACATGACACACAAACCACAGCCTGTGCCTGCCTCATTATACAAACCATCTGTAAAAATGTCGATCCCTCGAACTGGTAACTGGGGTGATCTAGAGCAAATATAAGGACCTAAGTCGTACTAGGAGGGATTGGCAAAGATAATTTGGATGTTTTGTAGTCCTCGTAGTCCGAAGTAGTTTGATGCCTCGTAGTCCGAAGCTGAAAAGTGAACGTTCCATAGAGTAATATGTTTGTTCAGTCGTAATATACAGGAATGTATTGCTTCTCGCTCTGCAGTTAGGTCGAGAGGAGGAATACCAGTTAGTACCTGCAGGACTGCTGTCAAAATTGAGAGGTATTCCTAATGATATGCAGAAGGGGCATTTTTTGTATGGAGAGAAGTTGACGGCGTTCATGTTTAGTTAAAGAAGTTGCCCACATACCAGCACATTACAGAAAGATTCTTTCTGTGACTTTCTGATGCAAATTTTTTAGTAAGGAAGAAGAGACATCCCAGTTTTTAGCCGTAGTCCGCATCATGTTATTATTCAAAATTCCAATTCGATACTTAATATTTTTCAGGTGCGGCAGCCAAGAAAGTTTAGAGTCAATTATGAGGCTTAGATACTTGACTTGTTGAACTATCTTAATAGAGGTGCTATACAATTTAATTGTGGGCTTTCGTTTAAGAGGGGCTACAGCTCCTATTGTCACACTCGAATCTTAGAGACTGAAATAGTAGTTTTGTTTTAGGTGTATTTTTGAACTCTTAGAGTAATGAATTTGCGACCCTGTCCATAAGACAGGACCTCAACATGAGCCCTGAGGGAATCCTCGATGCAACTCTTGTGTAACAATTCCAGAGTCTAAAATAATTTGAATGAAGCGGTCTTTGAGATAGCTTTCTTATGAGGTCTACGAGATCGCCTTTACACTCCATAGTGACCAAGGTATCAAGGATGTTCACCTACCACATAGATTCAAAGGCTCCTTGAATATCTATAAATAAAAGGAATAAATAACATACATATATATGTATATAAATGCAAATATAAATAAATAGATGAATATATAAAAAAGGTTTATACAACGATTACTTGGCTAGTTGATGAGCATGAATATCTTTCATTACAGAATTGCAATATTTTAGTCAGTTTAGTAAGAGCTCCTTTAGTTTTCAATAGATGTGTTGTCCTTTGTTCCCACTATTGATCAGATGGCTTGGTCAAGTAAAATGGTTTCGTAAGACAACAGAAAAAGGCATAATGATCCGGAGGTTGTTGTTGGCCACATTCACAAGTGTCCAGTTCTGTAATACCAAATCGATGAAGATATGTTATGAAAGGTCTATGGCCTGAAAGAAAGCAGAGGAAAATGTAAGAATCTTAGTAGAGACATGGGGACAAAAACGAAAAGTCCGTCTTCCCATTGTTGCAATATTCCATCCGGATCGCCAGTGATTTATTAAGTAATTGTAAGTAATCCCTGAATCCATTTAAGAAAGGAACTTGGCAAAGGCAAGGGATGTTCCGGCAAGTTCGTACCAGTTACTGCTTGCTTGACAAGTTCGTCAGCACGCTCTTTGCCAACTATGCCCCTATGTACCAACTATGCCCCTATGTAACCGTGGACGAAATCCTGACGTTATGTTGAAAAGTAATTTTTGAACTTCTATTACTAGAGGGTTTCTGAAATTTATATCATCACTTGCCTCCAAACTAGGTACAGAGTCACTGTAGATATGGGCTTGTGTATCGAATTTATAGAAGAGTTAAATAACTTTCTTTATTGCCGTCAATTCAGCTTGCAATATTATGATTACTTAATCTTCTTTTCCAAATGTGTTTCAGGACATCATTTAACATGACACACAAACCACAGCCTGTGCCTGCCTCATTATACAAACCATCTGTAAAAATGTCGATCCCTCGAACTGGTAACTGGGGTGATCTAGAGCAAATATAAGGACCTAAGTCGTACTAGGAGGGATTGGCAAAGATAATTTGGATGTTTTGTAGTCCTCGTAGTCCGAAGTAGTTTGATGCCTCGTAGTCCGAAGCTGAAAAGTGAACGTTCCATAGAGTAATATGTTTGTTCAGTCGTAATATACAGGAATGTATTGCTTCTCGCTCTGCAGTTAGGTCGAGAGGAGGAATACCAGTTAGTACCTGCAGGACTGCTGTCAAAATTGAGAGGTATTCCTAATGATATGCAGAAGGGGCATTTTTTGTATGGAGAGAAGTTGACGGCGTTCATGTTTAGTTAAAGAAGTTGCCCACATACCAGCACATTACAGAAAGATTCTTTCTGTGACTTTCTGATGCAAATTTTTTAGTAAGGAAGAAGAGACATCCCAGTTTTTAGCCGTAGTCCGCATCATGTTATTATTCAAAATTCCAATTCGATACTTAATATTTTTCAGGTGCGGCAGCCAAGAAAGTTTAGAGTCAATTATGAGGCTTAGATACTTGACTTGTTGAACTATCTTAATAGAGGTGCTATACAATTTAATTGTGGGCTTTCGTTTAAGAGGGGCTACAGCTCCTATTGTCACACTCGAATCTTAGAGACTGAAATAGTAGTTTTGTTTTAGGTGTATTTTTGAACTCTTAGAGTAATGAATTTGCGACCCTGTCCATAAGACAGGACCTCAACATGAGCCCTGAGGGAATCCTCGATGCAACTCTTGTGTAACAATTCCAGAGTCTAAAATAATTTGAATGAAGCGGTCTTTGAGATAGCTTCTTATGAGGTCTACGAGATCGCCTTTACACTCCATAGTGACCAAGGTATCAAGGATGTTCACCTACCACATAGATTCAAAGGCTCCTTGAATATCTATAAATAAAAGGAATAAATAACATACATATATATGTATATAAATGCAAATATAAATAAATAGATGAATATATAAAAAAGGTTTATACAACGATTACTTGGCTAGTTGATGAGCATGAATATCTTTCATTACAGAATTGCAATATTTTAGTCAGTTTAGTAAGAGCTCCTTTAGTTTTCAATAGATGTGTTGTCCTTTGTTCCCACTATTGATCAGATGGCTTGGTCAAGTAAAATGGTTTCGTAAGACAACAGAAAAAGGCATAATGATCCGGAGGTTGTTGTTGGCCACATTCACAAGTGTCCAGTTCTGTAATACCAAATCGATGAAGATATGTTATGAAAGGTCTATGGCCTGAAAGAAAGCAGAGGAAAATGTAAGAATCTTAGTAGAGACATGGGGACAAAAACGAAAAGTCCGTCTTCCCATTGTTTGCAATATTCCATCCGGATCGCCAGTGATTTATTAAGTAATTGTAAGTAATCCCTGAATCCATTTAAGAAAGGAACTTGGCAAAGGCAAGGGATGTTCCGGCAAGTTCGTACCAGTTACTGCTTGCTTGACAAGTTCGTCAGCACGCTCTTTGCCAACTATGCCCCTATGTACCAACTATGCCCCTATGTAACCGTGGACGAAATCCTGACGTTATGTTGAAAAGTAATTTTTGAACTTCTATTACTAGAGGGTTTCTGAAATTTATATCATCACTTGCCTCCAAACTAGGTACAGAGTCACTGTAGATATGGGCTTGTGTATCGAATTTATAGAAGAGTTAAATAACTTTCTTTATTGCCGTCAATTCAGCTTGCAATATTATGATTATTACTTAATCTTCTTTTCCAAATGTGTTTCAGGACATCATTTAACATGACACACAAACCACAGCCTGTGCCTGCCTCATTATACAAACCATCTGTAAAAATGTCGATCCCTCGAACTGGTAACTGGGGTGATCTAGAGCAAATATAAGGACCTAAGTCGTACTAGGAGGGATTGGCAAAGATAATTTGGATGTTTTTGTAGTCCTCGTAGTCCGAAGTAGTTTGATGCCTCGTAGTCCGAAGCTGAAAAGTGAACGTTCCATAGAGTAATATGTTTGTTCAGTCGTAATATACAGGAATGTATTGCTTCTCGCTCTGCAGTTAGGTCGAGAGGAGGAATACCAGTTAGTACCTGCAGGACTGCTGTCAAAATTGAGAGGTATTCCTAATGATATGCAGAAGGGGCATTTTTTGTATGGAGAGAAGTTGACGGCGTTCATGTTTAGTTAAAGAAGTTGCCCACATACCAGCACATTACAGAAAGATTCTTTCTGTGACTTTCTGATGCAAATTTTTTAGTAAGGAAGAAGAGACATCCCAGTTTTTAGCCGTAGTCCGCATCATGTTATTATTCAAAATTCCAATTCGATACTTAATATTTTTCAGGTGCGGCAGCCAAGAAAGTTTAGAGTCAATTATGAGGCTTAGATACTTGACTTGTTGAACTATCTTAATAGAGGTGCTATACAATTTAATTGTGGGCTTTCGTTTAAGAGGGGCTACAGCTCCTATTGTCACACTCGAATCTTAGAGACTGAAATAGTAGTTTTGTTTTAGGTGTATTTTTGAACTCTTAGAGTAATGAATTTGCGACCCTGTCCATAAGACAGGACCTCAACATGAGCCCTGAGGGAATCCTCGATGCAACTCTTGTGTAACAATTCCAGAGTCTAAAATAATTTGAATGAAGCGGTCTTTGAGATAGCTTCTTATGAGGTCTACGAGATCGCCTTTACACTCCATAGTGACCAAGGTATCAAGGATGTTCACCTACCACATAGATTCAAAGGCTCCTTGAATATCTATAAATAAAAGGAATAAATAACATACATATATATGTATATAAATGCAAATATAAATAAATAGATGAATATATAAAAAAGGTTTATACAACGATTACTTGGCTAGTTGATGAGCATGAATATCTTTCATTACAGAATTGCAATATTTTAGTCAGTTTAGTAAGAGCTCCTTTAGTTTTCAATAGATGTGTTGTCCTTTGTTCCCACTATTGATCAGATGGCTTGGTCAAGTAAAATGGTTTCGTAAGACAACAGAAAAAGGCATAATGATCCGGAGGTTGTTGTTGGCCACATTCACAAGTGTCCAGTTCTGTAATACCAAATCGATGAAGATATGTTATGAAAGGTCTATGGCCTGAAAGAAAGCAGAGGAAAATGTAAGAATCTTAGTAGAGACATGGGGACAAAAACGAAAAGTCCGTCTTCCCATTGTTGCAATATTCCATCCGGATCGCCAGTGATTTATTAAGTAATTGTAAGTAATCCCTGAATCCATTTAAGAAAGGAACTTGGCAAAGGCAAGGGATGTTCCGGCAAGTTCGTACCAGTTACTGCTTGCTTGACAAGTTCGTCAGCACGCTCTTTGCCCCTATGTACCAACTATGCCCCTATGTAACCGTGGACGAAATCCTGACGTTATGTTGAAAAGTAATTTTTGAACTTCTATTACTAGAGGGTTTCTGAAATTTATATCATCACTTGCCTCCAAACTAGGTACAGAGTCACTGTAGATATGGGCTTGTGTATCGAATTTATAGAAGAGTTAAATAACTTTCTTTATTGCCGTCAATTCAGCTTGCAATATTATGATTACTTAATCTTCTTTTCCAAATGTGTTTCAGGACATCATTTAACATGACACACAAACCACAGCCTGTGCCTGCCTCATTATACAAACCATCTGTAAAAATGTCGATCCCTCGAACTGGTAACTGGGGTGATCTAGAGCAAATATAAGGACCTAAGTCGTACTAGGAGGGATTGGCAAAGATAATTTGGATGTTTTGTAGTCCTCGTAGTCCGAAGTAGTTTGATGCCTCGTAGTCCGAAGCTGAAAAGTGAACGTTCCATAGAGTAATATGTTTGTTCAGTCGTAATATACAGGAATGTATTGCTTCTCGCTCTGCAGTTAGGTCGAGAGGAGGAATACCAGTTAGTACCTGCAGGACTGCTGTCAAAATTGAGAGGTATTCCTAATGATATGCAGAAGGGGCATTTTTTGTATGGAGAGAAGTTGACGGCGTTCATGTTTAGTTAAAGAAGTTGCCCACATACCAGCACATTACAGAAAGATTCTTTCTGTGACTTTCTGATGCAAATTTTTTAGTAAGGAAGAAGAGACATCCCAGTTTTTAGCCGTAGTCCGCATCATGTTATTATTCAAAATTCCAATTCGATACTTAATATTTTTCAGGTGCGGCAGCCAAGAAAGTTTAGAGTCAATTATGAGGCTTAGATACTTGACTTGTTGAACTATCTTAATAGAGGTGCTATACAATTTAATTGTGGGCTTTCGTTTAAGAGGGGCTACAGCTCCTATTGTCACACTCGAATCTTAGAGACTGAAATAGTAGTTTTGTTTTAGGTGTATTTTTGAACTCTTAGAGTAATGAATTTGCGACCCTGTCCATAAGACAGGACCTCAACATGAGCCCTGAGGGAATCCTCGATGCAACTCTTGTGTAACAATTCCAGAGTCTAAAATAATTTGAATGAAGCGGTCTTTGAGATAGCTTCTTATGAGGTCTACGAGATCGCCTTTACACTCCATAGTGACCAAGGTATCAAGGATGTTCACCTACCACATAGATTCAAAGGCTCCTTGAATATCTATAAATAAAAGGAATAAATAACATACATATATATGTATATAAATGCAAATATAAATAAATAGATGAATATATAAAAAAGGTTTATACAACGATTACTTGGCTAGTTGATGAGCATGAATATCTTTCATTACAGAATTGCAATATTTTAGTCAGTTTAGTAAGAGCTCCTTTAGTTTTCAATAGATGTGTTGTCCTTTGTTCCCACTATTGATCAGATGGCTTGGTCAAGTAAAATGGTTTCGTAAGACAACAGAAAAAGGCATAATGATCCGGAGGTTGTTGTTGGCCACATTCACAAGTGTCCAGTTCTGTAATACCAAATCGATGAAGATATGTTATGAAAGGTCTATGGCCTGAAAGAAAGCAGAGGAAAATGTAAGAATCTTAGTAGAGACATGGGGACAAAAACGAAAAGTCCGTCTTCCCATTGTTGCAATATTCCATCCGGATCGCCAGTGATTTATTAAGTAATTGTAAGTAATCCCTGAATCCATTTAAGAAAGGAACTTGGCAAAGGCAAGGGATGTTCCGGCAAGTTCGTACCAGTTACTGCTTGCTTGACAAGTTCGTCAGCACGCTCTTTGCCAACTATGCCCCTATGATGCCCCTATGTAACCGTGGACGAAATCCTGACGTTATGTTGAAAAGTAATTTTTGAACTTCTATTACTAGAGGGTTTCTGAAATTTATATCATCACTTGCCTCCAAACTAGGTACAGAGTCACTGTAGATATGGGCTTGTGTATCGAATTTATAGAAGAGTTAAATAACTTTCTTTATTGCCGTCAATTCAGCTTGCAATATTATGATTACTTAATCTTCTTTTCCAAATGTGTTTCAGGACATCATTTAACATGACACACAAACCACAGCCTGTGCCTGCCTCATTATACAAACCATCTGTAAAAATGTCGATCCCTCGAACTGGTAACTGGGGTGATCTAGAGCAAATATAAGGACCTAAGTCGTACTAGGAGGGATTGGCAAAGATAATTTGGATGTTTTGTAGTCCTCGTAGTCCGAAGTAGTTTGATGCCTCGTAGTCCGAAGCTGAAAAGTGAACGTTCCATAGAGTAATATGTTTGTTCAGTCGTAATATACAGGAATGTATTGCTTCTCGCTCTGCAGTTAGGTCGAGAGGAGGAATACCAGTTAGTACCTGCAGGACTGCTGTCAAAATTGAGAGGTATTCCTAATGATATGCAGAAGGGGCATTTTTTGTATGGAGAGAAGTTGACGGCGTTCATGTTTAGTTAAAGAAGTTGCCCACATACCAGCACATTACAGAAAGATTCTTTCTGTGACTTTCTGATGCAAATTTTTTAGTAAGGAAGAAGAGACATCCCAGTTTTTAGCCGTAGTCCGCATCATGTTATTATTCAAAATTCCAATTCGATACTTAATATTTTTCAGGTGCGGCAGCCAAGAAAGTTTAGAGTCAATTATGAGGCTTAGATACTTGACTTGTTGAACTATCTTAATAGAGGTGCTATACAATTTAATTGTGGGCTTTCGTTTAAGAGGGGCTACAGCTCCTATTGTCACACTCGAATCTTAGAGACTGAAATAGTAGTTTTGTTTTAGGTGTATTTTTGAACTCTTAGAGTAATGAATTTGCGACCCTGTCCATAAGACAGGACCTCAACATGAGCCCTGAGGGAATCCTCGATGCAACTCTTGTGTAACAATTCCAGAGTCTAAAATAATTTGAATGAAGCGGTCTTTGAGATAGCTTCTTATGAGGT